ATTGGATAGGGTCTCTGAAGTGTCCTGCTTAGTTTTGCAAACTTCGTGCCAAACTTAATACATATACGTCGTTCAGTGTATAAAGAATCACGCTACATTTCTAGTATTGGAATGGATGTGCTGATGTCAGCAGAAACTCTCATTAGAATTGTTTATTACTACAAAAGTTTATAACAGTGTGCAGTCGTTGTTGTTTTTGCCTTCATTGTGGCACGCAATTACCGTAAYGAAGGATAGGCAACAATCGACCGAACGACAACTTGATGGGTCCACGCGATGTTTTCTTAATGAAATGTTCGAGTTTTGTGTTGTAGTTGTTGCGCTCATATAATTTTAAAATGCCGGTAATTACTCGTGCCATTACATTTTTACACTACAATACAGTTTTAACGACTAAAGTAAGTTGTGCTTCATTTTATGTAACTTATTTCTTACCTGCACAGTCTTTCTTCTCCCCTTKATGACATCAGGATCGTTAGTTATATGCTCTTCGATGAGAAAGCGTAGTTTGTCGAATACTTTGTTCTTAAATTTGCTCAAATAWGTTTCGTGATCCTCATTGTCAGGATCGATGGTGCCCTCATTCGATTTGCCGGCGACACTGTTGGGAGAGCAGAGAAGAATGTGAGTGACTTGAGCTTGACTTCTGATTTGAGTGAGAGTAAGTTTTTATAAAAAAAAAAAAAAAAATACATACATAGTGAAAGATTTTAATTTAGTTGAAAATATTTGTTGCAAAAATATTAATATTAAAAACATATATATTTTTCAAATTTAATTCTATTTTCTACTTACACTAGTGTGGTGTAATTGTCGGACGACAAATTCATAGTKAGCTCGTCTTTCATTTTCCTCAGCCGTTCGCCAGCCTCCGCATTTTTGGTGCTCATTTGCGAAGACCACTCACGAAATACAGCCAATATTTTGTCATTCGAAAGCTCTTTTGGCATACAAGCGATTAATGAATACATAAAATATAAAAATAAATAATTGTTTACTCTAAAAATAAGTTGTCTTGGTCTTTTGAACAGCACATAAAGCAGTGTAAAATACGAGCAATAATACTCTACACTCTCTATATTCTTTTTCTCGACKCCACTTCATTAATTTTTATGTAAAGCATTTCCTTTGCCATTTTCCACACTTACCCAGTGCTCTTTGCACTTCCTTTTCCAGTTGAGTTTCTCTTASTTTCTGCACACGCTTGGTGAAGTCGTCCGGCTGCGTTTTAGAGCAGTTTGCATTTTGTTTAATGCTTTGCAGCGCGCGCTCAATAACGTCACGCAGCTGCAAATACTCCGGATGCCATTTTTCAAGTAACATTGAACTGCGGGGAGTAAGGCAATAATAAAGTACTGGTTAGATCAAAGTGTTTACAGTGTTTTAAAGGAGCAAGCAAATAAATTTCAAAATTGAGAGAAAGAACATTAATTTAAGTCGAAACGACTCTTTATGGAAAAATATACTAATATAGCTTCAATTCTTTCAAACTATTTGAGTTTAGGACTATGCTAAGAACATATTTGTTGACATTCTCCCTAACAGCATTCTGAACCACACTCTTTCAAGCACTTTTCCAAGTACGGGAAGGAGACTGATGCCCGATAAGAATGAGCATCGCTTCTGATCTTATTAGGGGATATTAGAAGAGGAATAACCCTAGAACTTTTTCAATCGAGTGSAAAAGATTGTATGGATATTATACATCTAAAAGGTCTCCAGGTATTCCGAAATAAACGTTCACAAGCTTTTACACATCTCAAACTACTGCGGCATAAAAGCCGTAAGCYTTTCCGTCCTAGCAATGTAATTTTGGTGCAACAAAAATACCCGATTCTGAATTGACAAACTTATTCTTCTRCTATGTAGTCATTGGCGAAAGTTTCCGATATTGAAGAAATTTTTTTACCCTATATTAAGGGCACCAAGTTTCTACGACACCCACAATGAAACGTACGAGACCCTATAAAGTATTTATATAAAYGATTAAAATGAGGAGCTAGGTCAATTTAGTCAAGTCCGTCTGTACATCCATCTGTATGTACAAACATGTTCCGCGGTTTTTGATATATCGACATGAAAAGTTGCTTACGTCTCTTTCTTCAAAAGAAATTGATTATTTGTCTGTATCGCCGATATCGGACGACTTATAGCTTAGGAAGCAGGCCTAAAGATATTTCTATTATTTATTGAACATTATTGTTCGATATATTTAACGTTTTTTCTTATTTCACTTAGACTATGGAAAAGTACTGTGAAGAACTCTCTTGCCACCGTTTAACTTTAGAAATTATTTAAGAAAAGCAGGATCTTGGAGTTTTCAGCTACGTAAATCCAGAAAATACAAACGAAACTCCATTTTAAGCATACCCATATGCAGATTACAGCAATCTGCTGGTATTTTCTCAATATCTCGAATCATAAAGAAGTAAGACCCATGAGTGTGTGCACTTTAGCGTAAATATGTGTGCATGTGTGCATAAATTTACGCAGTCACAATGACACATCCGGATTCAAAGCTGCTTTTTGTAAAAGTTCCAAGTTTATGCAATCTTGATGAGATACGCACGTGTGTGTGTGTGTGTGTGTATATATATAGCAGACAAGAAAGCTGAGAAAAATAATTTAATGCAACGCAGTCAACAAACAAACCCACACCCCCTCACCCGCATTAGAAGCAAAGAAAACATTGAAAGTTTCAACTGTCTGCGCAGTTATTATCYGCAACTATGAATTCGAGCGTTGAAGAAACGCATAAGCAGCAGGGGRACGTGGCAAAATTGCATTCCGCATCGAGTCATTGCGGATATGAACTTGTTAAGTCAGTCAAATGAAGCAGCGTGCGATAACGAAGTGCGGTAAAAATGCAGGCGSAGGCAGCGGCGAGCGTGTAATAGCAACTGAATTTGCTTACTGGCGCTTTACAGTTATTTAGTAAGTTGCACTACCAACTAATACATACGCAAAGTGATGCTTGATTAGAAGGACCGCCAGCACTAAATAACGCCTTGTTATGTGAGTGGAGAAGTTGGGGTTGAATTTTCGTTTGAACTAATAATGAACAGTATAGCTTGGTAGTAGTAATGCAGCATATATTTATGTACTTAGTAAATTTTGTTGCATGTAATTTTAAAGTTACTAACATTTTGTGTACAAAAGTRTTTAGCGTAATGAGAATAAGGCGACTTTGAAGGAGACTTGTGTTTTCTCGAGTCGCAAGTTTTGCTGCACGCTCAGAGATTTTGAGTTGAGTTGACGTTGGGGTAAAACTAAGTTAGGGTTTGATTTTGCAAAATTAATGAAATATATTTAACTTAACGAAACTTATTAAACTGAGATGATTAATAGCAGAAAGATTTGAGAAAATGAATGAAAAGTTATGTTATGTTACTAAAGTTGAATACAGTTGGATAAACAATAGTAAAGTAAGTCTAAACTTATCGTAYAAAATGACTCAAATGCAATAACCACAAAAATACCTGAAACTTTTAAACGTAGCTGAGGACTATAAATTCATCAAACACTTCATTACAGATGAAGAGACACGAACATGAAATACTTGTGTGAGGTCGAAATTGTGCAAAAATCTACCAGACGGTGCTCTAAAAACTGAGGAACTAGTTCGCGCATATATGGCCAGACAGACAGACGCGAATGGCCAAAGCTAAATCGACTATAATAATAGGTGTTATAAGGAAGACCAACTTGCATGTAAGATTTCGAACTTATTAGTTATTGAATATAGCTTGAAGACTTTTATTATTGCTGTTATTAAGGAAAACTGACGGTAAATTTGTGATTTCATATAGTTTTGGAATGAAGGTTCCGAGTTTTGGTTCCGTGTGCTTCTTAGTAATTAAGGTCCCATAATCCACCTTGGAGAATGGAGCCACGTTTAGAAGTTCACGCAAGTCGGGAAAAGTTCTTTGAACGTCATTAACTTTCGAGTGGCCAGAAGAATTTTTTTACATGTGGCTCAAATCGCTCACGACTTCCGGTCTGGGACAAAAACTCTTCTGGTTAGCCCAACAACTTCCTTTAAAGATTAGTTAAAATAAAAGGCAAAGAAAAAATCCACTCCCCACGGTTGTGCGCTGGGCTTGGGACCCGCCACGTAAAACAAAMACCCCCAATGAAAACATTAAAACMGCCTCGGATGAGATACYTTTCTTTTAGTGACGACATAGAACTGTGGGACGGCATTTCAAGSTCCTTACGTAAATATKCAAACGAAACAATTRGTTTTCGGAAAAGGCAAAAAAAAAAACAACAGCTGGTACGATAAAGAGTACCGTGTCACAGTGGAGAGAAAACCGACTGCCTACCTTGCAACGTTACAGTCGACCAAAATAAATGAGTTGACGTTACGAGTTTTCCAGAGAAATGTTMTGGGAAATATTTATGTTTCTGTGCGCTTTGGCCACGGCGACGGCGAATGGATGAGAACACTCCAGCTCTGAGAGTCTTCGACCGGGACCATAAACCGGGAGAGGCAGAGGAAGTAGAAGTCTCTGCTTGAAAAGACCAATTGGCGTCAAACAGCAAAAAGGAATAAAGACTGTCACATTGTTGTAGACTGCGTAAGAGGTGTCTATGCTAATAAAAAAGAAAAAGAATTCAGCATACATATAAAGGAAAAATGGTGCTAAGCCGGCGCAGTTAATAATAGTTCCTTTACTAAAAATTTACATCCTCAATTTATATTTTTGATATATAACAGATTCACTTATAATATGATATAAGATCAAAAATAAGTGTGAAGTCGACTGCCTAATTGCAGTCAACATTTTATTGCACAGATAATATTACATAATAAATGTTGCCTACATTCGAGCGCCTAAGAAAATATTGATACAGAGAGCAAAGCTGTTATCGGCTCTCACCACTTAAGYCTATAAGTTAAGATTTCCGTCTATATTTAACCGAAATGTAATCACATAACAAAGCTACAACCATTTAGCTAAATCTCATATCGTTTTCTTACTTTCTGATGGCAAAAAGAAATAAAAGCGGTGTACAGAAGATGAAACTGTTCTATAATCTAAATCATAAAAATGGTGCTCGTTAAATTATATTACAAATTATTGTGGTTATTTGAAGCACTCAACCGGAATGTTTTGCCAGTAAGTCCGAAAACTCGTTAATTTCTTTCTCAACGASCTGCTTGCCGGCAAAAGTATTTCAATTACCAAAGCAACCAACCCACAAAAGGATTACCACTTTCTCCTACACATTCTTGCCTAAATACTTTCGCACACCCCAAATATTTAACACTATACAAGCGCTTTAAGGCAATAAACGCGAACGCTGCATAACTTAGGGCTGAACTCGCAAAGCCAGCAGGCACCGCCAAGCAGATAATCGAAGTTTATTGTTTTGTAAATGCTTAATTGGAGTTTTATTGCGTGTTTAGGCAAAGCAATACACACATAAACTTGCTCAAATATGCGCTTGTGTTGCTAAGGCCAAAGTTTTTTATGAAATTGAATGAAGA